AATTTTGCAGTGCAGTTCTCCAGACAAAAGCACATGTATTAGGATAGTGCGTGCCTAGAAATGAATATCTATATTAGTGAAAATAATATTTTTAAAATGCATTGCATTAGGGAGAATTCATTTGCAAAAATGTGTTTATTAAGAGAAATTCTGGTGAAATTAAGTGATGAATTTTCATGTGGTCTGGCCCTTCTCTGAATGGGCTGGGTTTCCACCTGGTGCTTAAGGCCTTTCCCTCAGGCTTGGGCCTCAGTGTCAGAGGTGATTAAACTCACCCTGGGTTTAGTCAGTCTTTCCTTGGCCTTGTTGCAGGATCCCAGCTCCTCACCTCCAAGATGGAGCCTGAAACCTTCAAGATGGTGAAGACTTTCCCTGGTTAAGACATTACTACCACAAGCTGGAAGGCAGAATGGGGCCCTTTCCTCTGAGAGGCTGGTTTTGCTATGTTCTGTATTCAGGAACACTTAGTAATGTGAGCCCCTACCTGCTCTTCGAAACTGCAAAGGCCAAACACAGATTTAACAGTAAGAACTAGGGCAAGACCAAACTTTCAAGAGGGGCACCTCCTTTCTTTCAAACTCTTTTGGACAGCTCCTCATTACTACCAGCGATCTTTCTTTCACCCTGCTCAGAATGGAACTCAGAATAATGCTACATTGACATCATTCTAAGGCACTGGGGAGATGGAGATTTAAAATGGCGTATTAAAAATTACAGGTACTAAGTCAGGCCATTTGTCAATCTAGCTTAGCAAAGTTGACACTGGCTAGCAGCAGGTCTCCGTGGCTTCCCTATAAGTCCCAGGGATTGAAATCAGAAGGTTTTGCCTGCTACTGAGCTATGGTCTTCCACTCTCAATTTTATGGTCAACCCCCCCCCCATCAAAAAGCCCAGCCACAAAGCCCTCTTTCCACATCACACAGCTGCAGCTGTGTGTTGTCGTTTTGCTCAGTCTTAGTGAGACTAGGCCTCAAGATGAAACTCTCTAAGTGGCAGCAGCCAGTGAATTTGCTCTCTTAAAACTGTTATCAATGGACCAGACTTGCCGTTAAAACCTCCTTCCAAGAAGCAGGCAGAAAATACAGTGATGAAATACACCCTAATTTGTCCTGGAGCCTCCTGGGGTGTATTTAAACATCACTAAGTGCTTGGATAAGGAACTCAAGTGACGTTTATTTTTGCTTGGGTGTTTTACTTTTTTTTTAAAAAAGTTTGTCAATTCTCAGTTCCCCCCCTCCATTGCCCCCATCCTTCTTCATAGGCTACAACACTGGCTAAATTGTTCGGGCTCACATGGCGGCTAGTGCTGAACAGCTGAAATAGCTCAGTGTGTTGACCTCTTTACCCCTTGTATGTAAGTCAAGAGTGGGCAGCAAAAGCAGTTTCTCTCAATCGTTCCTCTTCAGCTTGCTGCAACTGAGGGAAGGAGAAAATGGACAGGGGGAGACCCTCATGCCTTGTGAGTAAACTGTCAGGTTTGGGGAATCTGTAGCCCTTCAGACGTTGTTGGACATCATCTCCCACCATTGACTACAATGCCTGGGGTTGACGGAAGTTGGAGTCCAGCAGGATCCTATACTACTGTAGCATCATGACAGAGCATCTGCATTGCAGGTTGAATCCCAGGCATCTCCAGGTAGCACAAGGTTCCTTACCTGAAACTACAGTGTCAGTACAGGCAGTACCGAGCTAAATGGACCAAAGGTCTGACTCAGTATAAGGCCGCTTCTCATGTTCCCTATCCCAGTCATTATTAATTTTAGCCTGTAGGTACAAAAGCTTGTTGATGTAGCACAGCCAAAGGTGTCTCTTTGTTTAGAGCTGGGTTTCCCGAACTTGGGTCTCCAGCTGTTTTTTGGGACTACAACTCCCATCATCCCTGACCACTGGTCCTGCTAGCTAGGGGTGATGGGAGTTGTAGTCCAAAAGCAGCTGGAGACCCAAGTTTGGGAAACCTGGATTTGGAGCATATGCTCTTCAGTCCAGAAGCCTCCAAGCATGGCCTAAGGAAATCAAAACAGTCCCTACCCTCAGGTTTATGATCTGAAAATACATGACACACAAGGGAAAAGGGACAGGGAAGAAAAAGGCAAACTCATGGGCTAGTTCTTAAATAGTGATCTTATAATGGCCAGCTAGCATAGAAACAGCTCAGGATGTTCTGGCTCTGGATTGCATGCAGCAAAGGAAGGTGTTGGAGGAAGGGTCTTGCAAGTCTTCTCCAATTCTGTGACTCTCTGTGTGTGCTTATATAAGATGGGAACTCCCTTGTGCTACTCTCATTCCGCTGCTTCTCTCCTGTTGATCACTGGAATGTTGTCAGGGCAAAACTGTTTTTTAACGGGCGGTTTTAAATGTGCTTTGATGTATCTTCATTATTGTGTTTAACTAGTTTGTTGTTATTACTCTGTATTTTATAATGTTGTATTTTTAAATGTTGTCAGGCCGGCTATAAATCTAATTAATGAATTAACCCACTATGGGAATGAGAGAGAATGAGCATGTCTTCATATAAGAATCATCCCAGGGGTCATCACCTTCATTAAAAGACTTTTAAGCAGTGGTTGGAAGGCCATCTGCCAGGAATTCTTTAGCTGTGATTCTTCCATTGCTGGGGGTTGGACTAGATGACCTTTGGAAGTCCCTTCCAACTCTACAATTCTGTGAATCTAGGTAAGTATTAGTGCCAGAGTGTTTTCTTCCTGACTGAAAGTAATGCATTTGAGGTTGCATTTTTGCAAGATTATTGACACTTTCCAGGTAACAATTTATCACCTAATTGGTATTTTATAACTATGTAGCCAAATCTTTCTTTCTTTCTTTTTTTGAACACACACACACACACACACACACACACACACAACAAACTGCCTTCTCTGTACAGTTTCTGATTAACAGTGATGGGATTCATTTTCTTGGAAGGTAACCAAGCTACACAGGTCAGGTATGTGATTTATTAGAGATACTAAAGTTTTCGCCTGTGACTTGTTGCTAAAAATGAGCTGTGTCCAGAGGGTGGTTTTCTTCACATTTTATTAGAATTTCAACTCTTTCCATGGGGGGGGGGGCACATTGCGGATGTTGTTGTCTCCTTCCCCGACAACAAAAGTTATAATACGCTATAGTTTAAAAGCACAGTTTTCTTTACTGTTATTTTTATCTAAGCCCCACGGATGTCATACATGAGTCAATGTGACGTCTCTGTGGCTGCTCCCAAACTTTCAAACTCCCTCCCTAGAGAAGTTGGACTGAATCAGAGTAGCACTGTTGGACCAGACCCATCTTCATCCAGCATCCTGCTCTCACAATGATCAGCCATGAGAACATAAGACGAGCCTCTTGGATTAGGCCAATGACCCCTTTGGTTCAGCATCCTGTGCCCACAGTGGCCAGCCAGGTTCCTGTGGGCAACCCACAAGTAGGATTCAAACATAGGACCATTCCCCCCCAGTTGTGCCTGCCAGCATCCTACCTACTTACTCAGCTTCTGTGTGCATCAACCAGCAGTAATTTATGTGATTCAAACCTATCCTTGCCCTATTTCTCATCCCCCAAATCCACTCAGTTTGAATAAATGCTATTCAGATGTTAACCTTCGTGTGCCCTGTGCTGTCAGTTAAATGTTTGTTGCCAGTCCTATTGACCCCCATTGAAAGGTGTTGTGTTCATGCACGTACGTGATAGTTTAATGGGTCTGTATATCTTTATTCAGAATTGTTAACCTACTCGGCGCGACTTGTAAAGTACTTTTTTTAAATACCAGCTCCTAATATAACTGCATTGCACTTGTAACATCCTATGAAACCCTTATGAATTAAAGGATAATTAGTGGTTCAAAACATATAGGGCATTAAGACCAGAGGTTGCACAAAAACCTCACGAAGGTTCATAAATCAAGCCCTGCCTGCAATTGATCTCTCATAGAGCTAGTTTTTAAATCATCTCTTTAACACCTTGTAAACATAAAAACATATCTGTGCCCAAGGGAAACTTTAATATGTTTTTCATCCATATTTTAATTTCATCTCAAAAGTACTGGCTGCATAAAAATTAAGGCAGCTCACAAAAAACTCATTGATTTCGTCTGGATAAAACCCATCTGTCCAAACTAATTTAGAACCTTTTTGGGTTTTCTTTTTCTTTTTCTTTCTGAAGCTGTAAAGTTAGTCATGCAACACTGAGGTCATTATGGACATCCTGTACTGTAGGAACTCTGGTGTAATTTTAAGAAGGTTCATTTTGTTATATTTACTGTATTTAAATAAAGCGCTACTTTTTTCTCTTTCTCCAAAAAAATGAGGAACAAAAGCTTCACTGTGGAACTGTATTGAAAGCAAACCAGAAGCTGTGAAAAGTGAGATCGGTTCTTTTGCCTTGTGATTAATACACCTTTCTGCCAAAATTGAAACTTCTTAACTGAGCTCATTTAATACAAAGTAAATGAATTCTGCCCTTTTGGATTTGATCTGCTGGCTAAGCTCTATAGATAAGGGTCTAACAGTGAGTCGCTTTCATTCCAAACAAAGGATGTTTTCATAGAAAGGTCAGAGCAAAGGTCTTTTATATTGTGATAGCAGGAAAAGGAAATAGCATATTAATGGCAATTCATGCCATGGTGGTCCATAGAATATGGTGAAACACTCTCCTCCCTCCCCTCAGAAAGAAGATTCTGTAGTTTTGTTTTGTTTTTTAAAGTATTCTCTAAGAGACTGCTTTCTCTGCAACAAAATATCTTTCATCACACTAAGGAAAGGCAAATTCTATCTATCCTACAGTGGCTAACAAAACAGAGATGTTTAAGCTTTGTAGCAAGATGCATTGATGCCTTCCTTCTTTAACTGCTCTGAAGTGAAGATGGAGAAGACAGAAGCAGAACTGTTTTCTATGAATTTAGTATTGCTGTTTTATTAGTCTGTAATAAATGTATGGCTTTAGGGACTAATTATGCCATTCCAAGATCAAGAGAAAACTTGTCCGAAGTGTGGTCTGGTGCTTTTAAAATTGTGTGTGTGTGTGTGTGTGTGTGCGCGCGCACACACACACACACACACACACACACACACATATACATGCATGCTGAGTTATTTTTCCATGAGAAAGAGAATTGTGACAGATAGCACCTTGAATCTTGCTATTTGCAGGCTATTTATTACAAAAAAACCCCAACCAAAAAAACAAAAACAAAACCAGCATGAGCATTCACAGATGACAACCTACATCTTCAGATGCTAAGTTCAGGCAGTGGTGACTTCAAGATTGGATTACTGCATTGCAGCACTCTGTGTGGGACTTTCCTTGGGCTTGGCCCAGAAACTGCTGTTGCTGCAGCATGTGCTGGGGCACCTGACTGTTTCTGCTTCTTCACTATCCCTCAAGCTCCCTGCCTCCAGTACTTGCCAGTTCATCCCTCCTCTGGGGTGTGGCTGGTTTCCCACCACCAGGAGCTAGGAGCCAAATTCTCTCCCTCTGTGCTTTCCCTGGGGGATTCTTGGTTCAACAGCTTCCACTATTCCCCCTCATCCAGCCAGTCCCTGACATCATGTCATAGAAACCTAAGAAGTTAACTCATACTAAGTCAGACCATCTATCAGTTTTACTCAGTGTTACCTATAACCGAGGACAAGATAATCTCTGGCCCTGCAGACAGTGTTGGTTTCCCTTTACTTGCAGTCATCATGGTCAGAGATAATGGGAGCTGAGCCCAACAACCTCTGGAGAGCCACAGGTTCCCCATCACTGGTCTTTGCATGGCTCCAGTTCACTAGAAAGGGGGTTGTGCAGGAGAAGCTCCTGCTGCACTGAACATAAGAAGCTACATTATAACACAACAGTCCATTTTGTTTAGTGGATCCCCAGCATTTCAGCCCAACCTGAAGACACCAGGCATTGAACCTTGAGTTTTTCTGTATACAAGAGAGATGTTCCAGCACTTCCACTGAACATTGCTAGTGGTTATTCAGTGGTTCATGTACAGTTGGCTCCTCCTTATTTGCAGTGATTCTATTTTTCACCTATTTATTTCAGTCATGCTCTTTTGTTAAAATGAGATGCTTAGCTTCAGGGCTGGCCCACCCATGAGGCAAGTTGAGGTGACCACCTCAGGCAACATGATCCAGAGGGCCAGCAGATCCTGATGAAGATCTTTATTCCCATTTCTCTTGTTCCTGATGTAACTCTTCACTCACCCTTTCTTCCCTGGTGAGGATGGGCACACTATTTCATGGCTCATCTCAGGTGCCAAAATTTCTTGGGCCAGCCCTGCTTAGCTTCCATCCAAACTTAACCTCCATTTAAAAAAAAAACCCAAACCAACAACAACAACAACTTCCCTCACTCATTCGGATAGATTTTATGTAATTTCACATTTTAGAACTGAGAGGGTTATTGTAAGGAAGGGGGGAGGATCTGAGATGTTGGAGGCAAATTCCTTTACCAAATGCTCATTTCGTTATAAATGATTAAGCCACACATTTCCCTAGCATGCTCTATACTCTTCTAGTCCTCAATTTCACACCCTTATTTTTAGAGTGTGATCATTTTCAAATGCCATGAAAGAATGGAAAAGAAGAAGAAGAAAAAACATTCCCCAGGACACCAAAGTGTGACATATTTCTGTATGACATTTAGTGTTAATTATTAGCTACAACCTAGGAGGGGAAAGATGTTATAATATTGGAGTCATTACCATGATGGCTTATGACCTATTTTGTACGTCTAATGCAAAATTGAAGACAGCCAGCTCAGAGGCGGAGGTAGCAGGGGAGAGCCATTATCCTGAAACAGGAAGCCCGTGTGCTGTGGCTTCCTTGACATTTTCATCTGCTGTGCAGTACACCTTTTGAAATGGTGGTTTGTGAAATTCATGCACAGCAGGTACAATCCCAGACCCTCAAAGCGTCCCTATTTTCCAGGGATGTCCCTGATTTAGAGAAGCCATCCCAGTTTCTTATTTGATCCTGGAATGTACTGCTTTTCCTTAAAGGTAAAGGTAAAGGGACCCCTGACCATTAGGTCCAGTCGTGACTGACTCTGGGGTTGCGGCGCTCATCTCGCTTTATTGGCCAAGGGAGCCAGCGCACAGCTTCCGGGTCATGTGGCCAGCATGACTAAGCCACTTCTGGCGAACCAGAGCAGTGCGCAGAAATGCCATTTACCTTCCCGCCAGAGCGATACCTATTTATCTACTTGCACTTTGACGTGCTTTCGAACTGCTAGGTTGGCAGGAGCAGGGACCGAGCAACGGGAGCTCACCCCGTCGCGGGGATTCGAACTGCCAACCTTCGGATCGGCAAGTTCTAGGCTCTGTGGTTTGACCCACAGCGCCACCCGTGTCCCTATTTTCATTAGAGAAATGTTGGAGGGTATGCAATCCTCCTTGCTCCATATACAGACAGCAAGGCCATAGCTTGGGGGCAAAGCACATGTGTATATGCAGAAGGTCCCAGGATCAATCTCAGAAATTGCCAAGTAAGACCAGGAAAGACCTTTGTCTGAAAACCCCAGAGAGCCACTGCTAGTCAATCAATCAATCAATCAATCAATCAATCTCCTTTATTGGCATACAGAAAGTGCATCATATACATGGATTAATGGAAGAACACAATGAATTTAAGATTGGGAAAATGGCAAATGTGTCTTCTTTTTTTGGTCTTCAAAATATGGCAACCCTGGCTTGTACCATGATCACAGCGTGTGGCTGGCAGCTGGCACAGGAGATGGGAGAGTTGAAATCCCCCCATCAATTCACCTCATGGCTTGGACTTCATTGGTTTTGGTTATTTTGGCAGAAGTATTCTGATTGCAGGAGGTATGCTCTAGAAGCTAAGGCAGGCAAGGACCCACAACCCAGATGGGGCTCGCTAGCTCAGGGAGGAGGTATGTGATTCCTCAGCTACAGTAGTCTCAGGACAGGTCACATGGCTCAGCAAGCCCAGTTGCTGCAATGAATGTGCAAGATATAAAAGGAAAGCCATCGTGGCCAGGCCAGCATTACTGGAACTCCCTCTTTATTAACATTAAGTAGGCACCATAATTGTTCTCTTTCTGGAATTTGCTTACAATGTTTTTGCTTAGGCAATGTTTGCTTACAATGTTTTTGCTTAGGCTTAGGCAAGCCTATCCATATAGGTAGTATTTACACGGGCTTGCTCTTGCCTTCACCTTAATATGAATAGGATACCTCGTGTTTTGGGTTTTTGGGTGAGCTTTTGAGCCCCAGGTTTGAGTGGCTATCGCTCCGTTTCTGTCGTGTTGCAAAATGTGGGGTTTTCGCTGCAAAATACTGCAAAACTTTTGCCAAAGTTTGGTGCTGGTTTGGAGTCAGAAAATGTTGGGGGTTTGGTTACCCTTTGACCCCCACATTTGAGTGGCTATTGCTCCATTTGTGGGGCACTGCAAAACGTGGAGTTTTCGCTGCAAAACCTTTGCCAAAGTTTGGTGCCAGTTTGGAGTAAATTGGAGAACAGTGTGTTTTGGGGCACAGGTTTGCCATATCAATTACTCTGTTTGTGGGGCGCTGCAAAATACTGGGTTTTCTCTGCAAAATGCTGCAAACCGACTGCGAAACTTTGGCACCAGTTTCGAGAGGATCCCAGATTTTGGTGTTCTTAGTTAACGAAGCCCACAATTTGGCAGCCCTGGGATTTTGCTAGTTAATGTGGACAGTACTGAACTGCTAGACCAATGGTATGGCTCAGTATAAGTCAGCTTCCCATGTTCCTATGAGATTCTGGACAACCACTGCCAATCACTGGGGCAGATTCACCTCAGAACTATGATAGCACATCATGTCCACCAGATCTCTTGCCAAATATCTATATGGGGATCCGGGTAAGAATATTCAGGCCAGTTGCGGCAGGGGGGGGGGGGCCTGAATTCATGGCCTATATGTTCTGAAGACTATATGTTCTGAAGACTGTCTCCAGGCCGTAGCCCCTTGCCCCAGACCACTACCCTTACACTGTCAGGAGCTGGAGTCAGGTGTAGGTCAGCAAGAATCCGAGACCAGGGAAAAGAGTTGGTAGAAGAAGATTGGAAGAAGTTCAAAGATTATCTACAGAAATACTGTAAAATTAATGAATGTTAGAATGATGTTAGATAGAAATTAAGTGGTTTCTAGCTGTAATGCTTTAAGGGAATATGAAAAGGGGGTTATTAAGAGGTAAAAATTTAATGTTATTATTTTTAAGACCAAAGATTAGGATAAATAAAGAGGGTAAACTGAACTGGAATACAAAAAAGGGAGGTATGAGGAGGTCTGGGAAACAAGCTAAAGAAAAATAAGCAATGGAAAATCTGAGTGTTTTTAATCATTTTTATTTTGTATGTTTTTTCTTTTTCATTTTTTATTGTAATATTTTAAAAAATCCTAATAAATATCTTATAAAAAAAAGCAATAAAAAGAAACCAAAACAGCGCAGGCCTGGTGATTCCAGTAACTCTTCTCATATATCTACGTATTTTGTTTTTGTTTTGGTGGTAAGTCACTTTGAGTTGCCTTGGGCAAGATAATGCAACTGACAATTTAAATAGCTAACTAAATAAAGAATAGTGTATTCACTCAATTTGCACTTCCTGAAACATATGCAAACTGGAACTCAGACAACCTTTAAAGTTTGCACTTCTCTTAATGTAGTTCTCCAGCCAAGTAACGTAGACAAAAATGCGTATGTTAGAGTAAAGTGTGAATAAGAACCCTTTGCAAACATGTAGATATAGGGGTCATCATTTTTATATTAGAAAAACTTAACAGCAAAATGCTGGTGATATTTTCATGATGATTTTTTAAAAAGTGCAAACCAATGCAGAAATGTGCAGAACTAAATTTAATACTGGAAAAATGAGGAACTGAGAGAAACTGAAATGGACAGATTCACCCATCCCTTCTCAACTATAGACTGGCCATCCTAGAGAAACAGAAAGAGGATATTCCAGTTGGGGGACACCTAAATCAACTGAAAGCCTGAGATCATGGTGGGGTCTTGGGTCAATCTCTGTGCAAAGATACTAAAAACAAACAAACTCAAAATCCATTTCATTGCCAACACTCTTTTACTTGCAGTTCA